CCACAAAACGTCTAGATTACTCGAAAGAGTGTACAAGGAGGGGGGAGGGCCTGTGATTTGAGAAGTTCCGATAATAGACGAAAATAGTTGGACCATCGTCCTTTGTGCCGTTCCTCGCGTAATTTCCACTGATCAAGTCTTATTCATTTGGCCTCTGTTAATTAACCCCTTCCCGAACCTGATCGACGCGAAAAGATTTTGATTAAAACGAACGAGAAAGAGACTTTACCAATTCTACTCCCTTTGATATGAAATTCTGTCAATAGGAGAATATTAAATTGCGAGAAAAAAAAAATTCTTGAAATTCTAACAATCAATTGCGACTTCCTTTCCCCCAAACGTATCACAAATCTTATTATTAAAATTTAAGATTTACAGCGATCAGAAGACTCTTTCGATGGCCAAATCATCTTAAATCTCCGCTTAAAACTTCAGCCCCGTTACCAATTTAAAGACACTCGATCGAATGGTTGCCAATAACATTCCCCAAGCATCATCAAACAGCAACAATTTGACCGACGATAAAGGAATCTTGGCACGAGGATCCCCATGTACCTCGAAAAGAACACCCCGTAACTAATACTTCACGCACACAGGAATTCATTACTCCAGTGGCCAGGGACTCTCTGGTTTGGCACTCGTCTGGATAGTTAAAATCCACGAAAATCGACGTGGAATGGCGGAATTATCGAGGATAATAAGGTCGCCTCTTGCCGCCGGAATTACACGTTTAACCGTCAAAAATGAGCCTCGCGGGGGTTCGAAAGGGGTTCCAGTCGAAGAGAAACAACGGACCGGGGTAGGGGAGAGGAGATCCTCTCCTCCAACGTTTCCTAATCGATTGCCACGAGTTTTAAACTTTACGCCAACGTCCCCTTTTGCGCCCTCCAGCCGTTCTTCCGTTCAGTTCGCAAACCCGGCGGTGGCACCGCGAAACGAAGGAGGAGGAACGAAGGAGCGGACGATAAGCGAGAGGACGAAGCTCGAGGAGGGGAAGGAGGAGGAGAAGGGAGAAGGAGAGAAGCAGAGGGGACGAAGTCTGTAAATTTTCTTACATTTTATGAGCCATCAGAATTTCATAACCTCGAGCCAGTCCGCGTGGTACTTTGCACGGGAAAAGTTTCTCGCTTCTCTCCTCGTCCGCTCTACGTTCTTCCCGCTTTTTCGTTCCCCCCGTGTCCTCGTCTTCATCAAGCAACGAGGAAGAGAATGGATTTGGAAACAACCAAGGTGGATTGCAACGGGGTCGACGCGGCTTAAAAATCTGTGGTTTCGTTCGAAAAACGATTTTTACCTCGCTTCTTCCTTAAAATCGGTGGTGAAGAAATAAACCCTCCGAAAAATCCAATCGTCCTATCATCAAAAAACTTCAATACGCGTGTCAATTTAATTAATATTTGAAAAAAGAGAAACAATTTCGACAAAAAGTTCGTACGGAATCTATTAACTTATTAACTTGACTTGGTTTTCTGCAACGAGTAATTAAACGTTAGGCATTAAAATTACGGGCCGCTAATAGGTTCGTATTAATTGCGACGACACGGGCAGTGAACAATGGATACAATACGAGAGGCGATCAATGAGTGGCGAAGAGTATATTAACGCGCCGACTCTCATTCACAAAACCGCGAAGCGCTATCACTTTCTCCTTCGATTCATTGATTCCGCCCCCTCTATATTCCCCTTTATCGGCCGTTCTGCCATTCGTCATTCCGCCTCTCGAGCGTTCCCCGTTTCGTTTTATTATCAAAGATACATCCGCTTTTCCGCGATCGCGGCGCCCCGTTGATTAACCCACGACGAAATCTCTCGACGCGACGCGTGGCTCGCGTGTCTCGCAGTCGTGCTTTCGCGTGACTGCGTGCTTAAACTGCTCGACGTGCTTGACGCGGCCATGTCGATCGCGAACTTGTTAACTCGCTCGTCTGACTGACAACGCTTCTGATTTCCCGCGCGTGTACCGTTTTCACCGGTAACGGTATTGGTATTTCGTGTTCGGGGAAGTTGTTCGTGTTCGTAATAGATGAGCAATGATTTTTCTGCGGCATTGGGAACAATGGATTGTCGTTTTCGATTTATTTTTAATGGATATTTTTCTTCGAGTGGACGGTATCTGTGACAAATGATCAAAATGAAATTTGTAAAGTATTATAATAAAGTATAGAAAATTGGATTATCTTTAATTAACGTTAATTAATTTTGAAAGTAATTAATTGTAAATTATTCGTAAAAGAATCATTCTTAACAATATTATTAATTTGTTAAAGATCCTAGGTTATTTTTATTAGAATTTAGGAACATAAAAATTATTGACACGTACATTGTTAATTTCTAAAAAATCAAGGAGAATGCAAAGTAATTATTCCCATCCTCGATAAATCATCAGAGTTAAATATCCATTAATAATATCGACTACGAAACTCCAACGCAACTTTTCTCAAATAATTGCAAGATAAGTTCTTTCCCTACAATCTCGTAATAAAAATACAGATTCGCACGAAGCGAGATAGTGGATCGCAAGAGGTCTTTTCTTCCAGAGAAGAACGCATTCCCTCGCAAATCGTAGGGAAAAGTCTGAAAAGAATATCATAGTGTTTCCGTTGCGCGTGGAAAAAAAAGGAGGAAGACGGGTGAAGTTTCTCGAAGCGGGCGTGTATCGAGGTGAATTCGCGAGCATCCCCATAATGGCCGGAGTGGCCACTCTCGTGCCTCTTTTTTCCTCGAAAATTGCTTCACGG